TTAATAATGACTTTCTATGTAAGTAACATAAAATTCATTCAACTAAGACATGTTAGACACTGTCCTAGATTTAGAGGGATCCAAAAAGAAATAAAACAAGGTTTTTGCCTGGAGCTCCAGTCTAGTAGAAGAGAGACAAGTAAATAATAATCACAACGCACAATAATGGGGCTGTAACAGAGATATGAACAAAATGCTACGGGAACGTGAGTTTTTCCTAATAATAAACCTAACAAAGGATAACAATGTAGTTTACTATCACAAAAATAAAAAGCATAAAAAGTAACGTATGAAAATGATTGATCTTCACAGGACAAGAATAAAAGTGAGCATTCACATATTATGACACTTCATATTTTATAAAAAAGACATTGTAAGGTCAATGGGCCAACTTTAAGAATTATGTCTTTCACCTTTGTATTCCAACATAGTACCTGTTATACAGTAGTTTTAACCTATGTTGAATAAATGAATACATGCCCATATACATGAACGTTGATGATTACACAAATAGTATATTTCTCGGTTCACAGATACTAGAATTAAGTGGGATACACAACATTTGAAAAGAATACTTAATATCCAATATATCAGAAAGGTTCACCAAACAAAAGGAAATTAAGTTTAACAGGAATTGGTACTCAAAACACCTATCCATAGCAGACATATGTGACTCATTTTTTATAATCTTTCCAAGTATATAATTAATGACTCCATAGAAGACATTCGACAAATACTTTTTGAATCAATACTTACACCTCTACAATATAGCTTCTAAATCACGTTCCCCCCTCTCTATTGGCCTAAACTATAACAGCTTTTTATGTACTTGCATTTTCTTATTTCAAAATAACTTTGGTTACTATATTAGTTGCCCTAAGATATTTTGATCATGTAAATTTTATTTTCAAGTTTACTAAGTGGCTCCCTAGTATTTGAGACCTTCCATTAAAAAAAATTCTGGCACTAGTACACAAAAGATACTACATGGTTGGAACTTTATGACCTTGTGCTAGGAAAATCAGTTATCCATGTTTTAAAATGAGAATGGATTCCTACACAAAATCAATTTGTTACATATTAAAAGACACAAATGTGAAAGAAAATGTAGGATAATTTTTAAACAATCACTGCTCAGCTCTTTAGTCTCCCAGCTGTTGTTTACTGCTGGGTTTGTTAGAGGACCACCATGTACAAGAAAGAAAGCTTACCAATCTGATAATGACTTGTGAAGAATGTGCATTCAGGGGTTTGGGTTCCTTTTCTACAATTCCCTCCATTCTGTGACTTCCCCCTTCAACTTCCAGCCACTACTAGTATTTTCCAAACTCTGCCTTGATTTCTTCAACCTAGTAAGACTGTTATGGTCAGATTCTTTTGCATTCCAATTTGGAAAATGCCTTAAAGGAAAAAGCCAGAATGAATGTGTTGCTCATTTTAATTGCTTCCCTTCTCTGAAGGATTGTAGTCTTAGATTCTGCCCATGCTGACTGTTCCCACTGCCTTTTAAACTTCATATTTTGCTCAATATTTTAAAGATGTTTCTGGAAGGAAGGCAAATCCAAAATAAGCAGTCAGGGCCAGAACTGATACTTATTAGGAAAATCTCTTCGTTTCTCATTTTTTGATTCCTTCCTTTTATCTTTAAACATTCCATCGATGGTTATCTTATTATGTACCTGATGACATTCCATCAGTGGTTAATTTATATTGTGTATTTATAATACCAATATCTTATGTTTTTCATATACATAATCTGTTTCTGCTAACTCATTCATGGTAGTTTTCTTCCTATGTGTTGGATAATCTTTTCTATGCGTTTGAAGATCATGTTAGATTTAATATGGAGGAATCCGTATGTGTTTGGAGATTATTATTGTTTTTATCTAGATATCCCCCCAAAGTCTCATGCACTCATAGGTAGCACTTTTGGGAGGTAACTGGATCACTGGATTGATTCACTGATGGTTTTATAGCTGGGTGTGAAGCTTGGTGGGGAATAGGTGGATCACTGTGGGCATGGCCTGGCAGGGTCTATCTCTCTCCTCCTTCCTTGATCCCTCTCTGCTTCCTGCCTGCCATACCATAAGCTCTTTCTTCTCTGCAATGCCCCTTCCCCATGTTGCCCTGCCACAGAGCCAGCTGCCTATAGACTGAAACTTCTACAAACTGTTGTGGCTTGCATCTAGATGTCCCCCCAAAGCCTCTTCCAGTGTTTTTCGGAGGTAGGTGAATCTACAGTGTGATGCTAGGATTAAAGGTGTGTGATTACTAAACCACTACACCAGTTAGTGATTGGTTTGGCACCACCCTAATACCAGTAGTTAGAATAAGATAAAAGGAGCAGAAAGGCACTGTTAAGGCCTCTTGTTGCTTTGCTACCTTGTGGGCACCATGAACTGCTTCTCCTCTGTGATGCCCCTCTGTCATGTGTCACTCTGCCTTGGAGCCAGCTGATTATGGACTGAAACCCTATAAACTGTGAGCTAAATAAACTGTTTCTTTCCCCTTTTTACTTTGGGTGTCAGGTATTTTGTCCCAACAATGTGAAAGTAACTAAGACAGAGATTGTTTTTTTAATGTGAGGGAATCCTAGAAGTTCAAGGTGAAGATGTTCTCTCTAAGGAGTTGTGCTGGTGTCTGCTCCGAATCTCCAGCTATGTTTTGAAAATTATTTCTATATCACTCAACATCTTTTTCCTAGTTGGTCTGTATTTTTTCTGAGTTTTTAATAATGGTTCTTTATATGAAGCACAAGACCAAACACAACATCCAGTTTTGATTGGGCAGAGCCAAGTACCAAAGAATGAGTACTGCCCTCCTTCTGGAAATCCTACCAGTGCTAGTACAGCATAAAGGTACATTGTAGCTGTTGGTAAGCATGTTAAGAGCAAACTGCAACAGAGAAAGAGGGAAAATGTGTAACTATCAGATATGGAAAAGAACATGAAATTTGTTATTTATGAAATCAACTATATAAGTTCTAACTTACAATTCTGTTTCTTCTTTGATATGATAAAAACATAATTAAAAAATTCAAAATAGAAACAAAAAGAAATAATACACTGCACCTTATAAAGAGACTTACAGCCACATGTCTGGCTGTACATACCCCTTCTGTCAATAATTTTCTTTTTGTACCGGAAATCGAACTCAGGATGCTTGCCAGGCAGGCACAGCACCACTGAGCTAAATCCCCAGCCCATTATCTGTCAACAATTTTGATCTTGTTTTCTTCCCATATTTTGTTAGCTCATCAATTTAAATTCTCACCCCCCCACACACATAATCTGTTTGCTGTTGTGTTCCTCCAACCTGCATTTCCTTTTTTAATTTTAGTTTTTTTATTAGAATATATTTGTGATGCATAATAATTATGTTCATCTTGGGGAATTGGCACATACACATATTGTATCTTAATAATTTTTACTTCCCCTTTCCCTCTTGCTGACTCTCGTTCCCATCTCCCCAATTCCATCTCCAAATGCCCTTCCCATCTCCACAAAGTCTACCTCTGTGTTTCCTACCATCTTTCTTTCATTTTGCTCTTTAAATTATTTACATTTTGGGTTTTTCACATAAAAGAAACCATGAGATAATTAAACTTTCTGTGTCTAACTTATTTCACTTAACATCATGGTCTCAAGGTACATCGATTTTCCTATAAATGACTCAAAGTTCCAACCTACATTTTTGAAGTTGAGTTTTATACTTAAATGAATCACAGTGAAAAAATCTAAAGGGTATCAAATTCTTAATACTGGAGCTATTCTTAGTCTAAACGGTTTTTTAATGATAAGTTAAATGAAGGTACTTCTCTTGAGTGAATAATTTTATCATCTGACAAGCCTAGGTGAGAGGTTATAAATAGTTGGGCAGAAGTTAAAACTGAGATTGAAAATCAGGAGATTTTCTAAAAATTACTATAATAAAAAGCAAATTCAGAAGAAGTAACTTTGGAAATAACCTGACAGACCTAGCTGATGACAGCTTGTAACTGGCATATTCAGTTGTGTATCTTAATGTCAGCCTCTTTTCATGCATTCAATGAATGAAAAGGTATTTTTCTAACCCCTCAATTAATCAGCTTTATCTAGTCACATTTTTTTTAAGTGGGAAATAACTCTAATAGTTTCTGGTTGATCTAACTCATTTTCATTGCTTTTATTCCAAAACCATAGAAGTCTAAAATAACAACAAAAACCTCACCGTGCACTGGAAATGTTATCTTTTAGACCAACATTTTGAGAAGGGGAAAATCATTTCTAGGCAAGTATTTAACTTAGAGGCTTTCTATTTACCACACCTTTTGATGTGTTTAATCTTAAGGATCTGAGGGTTTTGACAATATCTTCAAAAATTTATAATCCTCAATAATGGCAATATAATTATAGGTTTTAAAGACCTTAAAATACACTCAGAAAATAAGTTTCTTTATGCCTCCAGGCACATATTTCAAAAGAGACTGTAACTATTGGTAATAAAAGTAATAATATCATTAAGGAAGAAAAATTTAAATAGTGCAAAATACAATTCAAAATTGTTTTTCAGGACTGGGGATCAAACTCAGGACCTTGTGCTTGCCAGGCAGGCATGGCGCCACTAAGCTAAATCTCCAGCCCACATATATTTTCAATATTCAAACACAACCACTATCAACATTTTTGTGTATTTCTTTTTAGTTTGTATTTTTTGTCTATACATAGATTTTTAATTCACTTTAGTCATATTGTACATGTAATGTCCTTCCTTCTTTCCCTACCAAACCTTAGATCATGGAATAAATTCCATTTTTCAAGGAACTTGGATAAATAAATATAGCCCCAGTGATAGTTATTTGTGCTTTATGCTCTGTACTATAAAAACTGCTTTTAAAGAAAACATGAAGACTTAGTCGTGTATCTGTGATCTGTTTATTACCTATCCACTGCATAGTTCCACTAATCAACTGAAAAATACCATGCAATAGGGTTACTCTTCAAGGTACTGTCACTTCTCACCTTTTGAGCTGCAAGATGCAGGGCCGTTCTCTGGCTATGGTCAGTTTTATTGACCTCGGCTCCTGCCTTCAGGAGAGCATCTGCACAGTCCAGTCTGTCAGCCAACATACAATACATAAGTGGTGTCCTCCCAAACTGGTCTTCTTTGTCTTTAAGAGCAGAGTTTCCTGCAAGAGAACAGAGAGTGGTATTTGATAGCTGTTATTACTAACATAAAAAGAAACTGCATTTACTAAGTAGATATTAGCACTCTTGTTATAGGAAATTGAAGTGCAGAGAAGTTAACAAACACATATATATTCTCACTGAGAGTAGTAAAACTAGAATTCAAATTAATTGATGACTCAAAAGATCATATTATTATTATGACTAAAAAATTTGAGATATGAAGCTCCTCCTGTTCTTCTCTCTCTCTTTTTCTTTTGTCAAAAAATACTTAATGCCAAAAATAAACAATGAAATACTAGAACTCAATCAAACTCTTAAACAAATGGACTTAACAGATGTTTAAAGAGTATTCACCCCACCAAATCAGAATACACATTCGTTTCAGCTGGACACGGGTCGTTCTCCAAAATAGACCACATACTTGCTCACAGAACATGTTTAAGTAAGTGCAAAGAAACGGAAGCTATCCCCTGTATATTATCAGACTATAGTGAGGTGAAATTGGAGATCAATAGCAATAGAAACTGCAAGAATTTCATAAACACATGGAAATCGAACAACACACTTCTGAAGAACCAATGTGTCACAGAGGAAATTACAGAAGAAATCAGACAGTTCCTACAATTAAATGGTGATGACAATACCACATATCGGAATCTAGGGGACACAATGAAAGCAGTCTTACAAGGTAAATTCATAGCAGTGAATACTCACATTAGGAAAACAGCTCAAATAAATAACCTGATGCTGAACCTCAACCTTCTAGAAAAAGAAGAGCAGGACAATCCCAAAGCTCATACAAGGGAGGAAATTATAAAGATCA